ATCATATCTATTCTCCCTGCTTTTACCCTCCACTCCTTGTTCCCTACTTCCTGACGCCCTTACCAATCCCTTGTGGTTTCTCTTCTAATTTCATGTCATCTTTTTTTTAAAAAACTTTCCATGCATAAGAGAAAACATATGATGCTTGTCTTTTGGTGTTTGCTTATTTCACTTCATGTGATGTCCTCTTGTTCTACACATTTTCCTGCAAGTGACAGGATTTCATTCTTGATGGCTGAGTAATACTCCATTGACTGTATATAGACCATACTTTCTTTATCCATTTGTCCATTCACAATATGCCAATTGCTCTTTTGCTGATATTGGCCAAGCCACATCTTCTCTCCTTTCCACCCCTCATGACCCAGGCTTGGCATGTGAAGGTAGGAAAGGGATATGATGTTGAAATAGGGCACCCAAGAAGACAACACTTTCCTTTTCTACTGCTTCTTTTGGGGTTTTTTTTTTGTTTTTTTTTCCTTTTTTTTTATTAGAGAGGAATAACCATCTTCATTCTAAAGAACTGCAAGTCCTCCTATTCCCCAAGTTAAGGCAAAGCCTAATTTCTGAAGGGTGTTTACCTGAATCCCTCATTCCTGAGTTTTCCATCAACCCTTTTAGTTCCTCTGAGCAATAAAGTGCTAACTAGTGTTCTCTTGGGCCCTATCCCTTGACTGGACTTTTTCTTTGATGTGTCATATCCTCAACCTTTGGCTGGGCTATGAAGTTGATCAATACAACATTCAGACTCATCCACCTGAGACTATCTTGTCCTCTGTCCTGGGGGCCCGGGGAGATGAGGGGAGGCATGAGACTGGATACATAGTAGGTATGCCAGAAATTCCTCATCAAGAGGAAGTCACATCTTTAAAATGATTTTCTAGACATAATCCAGGAAAATTGTATGAGCAGCCCTGCATTCCCTGAAATCTCCAGGTAAGACTGCCAGGCAGAGAGGACTGACCTGATAGGCGTAAGAGGAGACTAGGATGGCAGAATCTATTCTAGAAGCTCCTGGTACCCACCTGGAAGGCAGGGTGCTTTCTATAATGAAAGAACAGTCCTATTTCTTACGGGGAAAAGTGCTTATTCTGTTGGACAGAGTGAGATGGAGGCCAGGGCCTTGAGTCTTTGCTGAGGACTCTAGCTCTGCATGAGTTCTCGGATCACACACTACCATGTGCTCAGCAATTCCATTGTCTTTTCTTGAAAACACTGCTAGGCTACATTTCCCAGCCTCCTTGGCAATAGGTGGTACCATGTGGTACCAGGAGGGCCAGTGGGGGATGAATCACAACCATGAACTCTGCTTCTAGACCAGTCTGTGGACATCTTCTGTTTGGGCCTCTGTGCTAACTCTTTTCTCTCATCTTCTGGCTGGATGTGGAGGAACCAGCAGAGGAGGCCCTGACAAGCTACAGGTGGAAGAATTTAGGTCCTTTATGGTGCGGATGACTGCCTACTGACCACTTTGGGTGACATCTATTGTGAGTAAAGCTGGACTCACTTTGTAGTCTTGCTACAGCCATTACCCAGGCTGGCTAACACCTAGGTCTGACGAGGAAGGCAGAACTGGGCACCTATGTTCCTAAGGTAATGGGGACAAGTCTTGGGGGCTGTTAGGGATTGTAACAAGGGAAATTAAATCGTAGGGAAGGAATACAAGCTCTCAGGCTTATGATTGATGTATTAGTTTATTTGGGAAAAACCTTGAACCTTTGCAGGATGTAGAGATCGAGGAGATTCCAGCAAGATCCTCAGCTGAAGCAAGCACGTGTCCCACCAGGCAGCGTTCTCCCAGACCACACAGCCATCCTGCAGCCCACGCCTGGGGCGGGTCACACAGAACCTAGGGGTTTAGCATGGTTTTCATGGGTTCTCTGGAAGAGAAAAGCCAGGTGATTAGAAGTCAGAAGCCCTGGGGGAAATCTGTTTCCAAACTTACTAGCACCCTCTGTCCCAGGTGAGAACGGAAACTCTTTCTGTTACATCAGGAGTCACCAAATTCCAACCAATTTTTTCCCCAAGTGGTTTGCTGACTTTCCAAACAGCTGGAGATCAGGTCTCCTTGGGTCTGGTTGAGAGAAAGAGACCAGTAATTGGGTCCTTGGACAAAGGAAGGGTATACAGAATGATCTTTTGAAATACGAAATGAAAACTGGAGGAAAAAGTCGCTGTCTTGGTTATTTTGCAGAGTGGCGGCCTGGATTTAGAGACAGGAATTTGGGTGCCTGTAGTCTTCTAATGGGGTGACCACCTTCCGTCTGGTGAGTGCAGAGCAGACATCAAGCACACCCAGGTCCTAACCTCCCAACCGACCAGCTTACTCATTGTCCAGGCAGATGTTTCCACAGTAAGTCCAGCAGCACGTGTGATTTGGAATTAAGCAGCTCAGGGACTTCGTGCACCTTTTCTCACAGTACTTTGATGGCGGCTGCACCCAGCACTGTTCCGTTTCTTTTTCTTCAACTGAAATGGAGATGGTAGAAGTTGGCAGGGTCCCTCCACTTACAACCTGAAGAAACCCGTTTCAAGCTGAAGAAACCCTTCTGGAACTCGGGCTTCAAGTCACAAACGAAGTAGTTCTCTGACCTCCAAGAAAATTCCCTCCTCAGATTCTAACCTGCATCTCTTCCCACAGATGCCTACTGACCACTTTTGGTGACATGTGTCGTGAGTGAAACTGAATCTCACTTACATGACCTATGTCCCTCCGTCCACGTTACCACAGGCCTGCAGGATTCTGGGAACTGAAGACAAGGCCTGGGACGCCCTCACTGTGGATGACTCCACACCACTACATTCAGTCTCATATAACCTTAGTTTTCAAGGCTAACAGTATCCTCTAGCCCCAATTTCCATATCTAATTAGCAGAATGGGAAACCTGCGCTAAGGAGCATAGGAGCCTCATTGTCTCCCTTCCTGTTTGTCCCCTGTGGATACCACCAGTGAACGTGCCCTCCTCCTAGATTCCACGCTCTCACCCATCGTTAGCCTCACTTTTTAATCATACGACCCCACGTGCCATTAAAGACTCCTTCTTTGTCTTTTTCATTTTTTGTGTGTGTTCTAAGACGCTCTTCCCTTCAAATCAGATGCATGTGTTAAACATCATCCTTTAGGCCCTCATCAGAGGCTCCTCCCCTTGGGGCACAGAGAAATGTGGCCTCCAAGGGAAGCTCTGTGTGGACATTCCCTTTATTCCAGCTGGATACCCTCACATTGGGAAATATTATTCCCTGCCAGTTCAGGACTGTAGGCAAAAGCTGTGCTCCCTTTCCATGCACTCAATTTGCTTCCACGGGTGGGGAGGGAGCTTGGAGGGACGCCATCTCGCTCTGTTAAAGAGGGCTCTGGTTCTTTAAAGGCTGATCCTGGAAGTGTGGGTCCTGAGCCAGCTATGACAGACACCCCCAGAACGGGACAGAGCACCGCCCCCCTTCCCTCACCACCACTGCTACCCTCTTTGTTCCTGAAGCTTCCCAGCACGGGCAGAAGCACCGCAGCCCCACAGGCGAACATGATGAGCAGGAGAATCCCCAGCCTCATGCTTGGCTCTGCGTGTGTTGGGTTCACTTCTGGCGGAAGACGGGTCCTTCCAAATGCTGCTGGAGGTAGAAAGGGGGCCGAGGAGAAGAGGGTAGGAGAGAGAGGGAAAGTGCTTATTACTGTACTAAGTTATTCTTTCTCCTACTCTTCTTCCTCTGGTACCGAGCACAGGTCAACTCCCAAGCCAGGCATTGGCTTCCCCGAGCTGCTTCCCAACTCACATGCCATCCCGTTTCCTTTGCAAAATCATTTCTTTTTTTAAAAAATGCATTGTTTTATGATTTAAAATGACCAATCTTCAGATTATATAATTTGTAAAATAAATCCGTAGTTCACCACCTAGTGACGACCAGTACATGAGTATACTTTAATGTCATGGTCATTTTTTATGAAATTGGACACATTATGTGTCCTGGTATTTAATCTGAAAACCTATGTAATGGGGGGGTACAGTGGACACTTCAGTGAGGGCATTAAGACAAGAGGTCCTGGGCCAGACCAGATGTGTGGAAGAGGCTCTACCACAGCCTCCACCGGGATTCAGTCCGGCTGACACCTGGGTCTTGGACTTCTAGCTTCCAGAATTGTTAGAAAATAGATCTATTTTGTTTAAGCTGCCTCGTGATGGTACTTTCCTAAGGCAGCCCTGGCAAACTAACGTAATGCATGATAAGTGCCCATTAAATATTAACCAGTGTTCTTAGCCCTGTGCACTTTCAATCTAACTGTACTAGGAAAATCCTGGTTTTACTCTTAAGTTCATTTTCCAGATTTTTTTTTAAAAGGTCGTAGATTGATTCCAAGTCAAAGAAACTGTTTATTCAGCAGAACTTGAGAAAAGTTGTTGGCAACAACAGGTTAGGGGCTCATGAAACACCCACAGAGACGACACCGAGTTGAAGGGATTGGAAAGAGGATCTTCTTTTTTTTATTTATTTTTAATGGTGCTGGGGATTGAACCCAGGGCCTTGTTCATGCGAGGCAAGCACCTACCAACCTGAGCTATGTCTCCAGCCTGTAAAGGGGACCTTGAAGTGAATGTGAAGGCCATCCTGAGAGTTACTGCGTGTCCCCAGAAGTGGATGGGCACCCAGTACATTTGTGTTAGGGTCAAGAATGGAGACTCGGAAAGTGTGGGCATCTGGCTAACCTGGCTGTGGTAGCAGAGAGGCGGTGTCCAAGTTATAACTGGCCAGATGACATTTTATGTCTCCAAGGAACCCACGAAGCCTCCTCCAGAAGAGCCAGGAGGTGAGCCCAAAGCCAGCTTATGATGGTACCTGACCTGCCTCCACTCTCCCCTCTCCTGTCCATCCTGGGGGACTCTCCCTCTCCTCTCCCTCCTGGGGGACTCTCCC